AATTGACTAACAGTACTATGGACTTACTTAAATTAATAAAATCGGAATGATAGTAATTGTAACTGGTTAATATTGTTTGCATATCATGTTAAAAATTCGAGGGTAGTTATAAAATAACTTTGCTGTTTTGCATTATCTCCATCATAAGCAGTGAGACTTTTCATTTACATTATAAAAAAAGGGCTACATTTTCGTTAAATATTTATGTGCGCTTCATTCTCATAGATAAAATAAAGCTTGAAAATTTGAAGCTAGGAAGCTTTATCGATGTTACAATAATTGTTATTTCCACAACTACTGAAGTGTAAAATTAAATAAAATTTCTTGGACTGCATCATTAAAAGATCGTGTAACTTGTAAATTTGCATCGTTTATAATTTAACAATATTCAAACATTGTCAATAACAACACATCATGAGACACAAACCCTTTTTTCCATATGAAAATCACAAATCACACCATTTTAGTGAATATTATTAGAACGTTCACTCCTCTAACAGTTTAAAAATAGATGGCATGTATACTGTGTATACTGTGTCCAATTTTTAAAGTAGAATACCACAATCTCAATGCTCTACCCACTCTATGCCATATTGAGATTGAGTGGTCCATGTTTGTAAATGTAGATCGTCCAGGTTGGTATAGTCCTGAGAAGGGATGTTTTTGTTGTTGTTGACTGACATTTCGACAACCTTTGCGGTAGTCATCTTCAGAGTCAAATGAGGACAATACCAACGTGGACGATCTACATTTACAAACACCACGATACTCCCGGGCTCAAACCATTTACTTTATTGAGTGGTCCCTGAAACAGAGTGTGCAAAATCAAAATTGATTTCAAGTTTCGTACATAGAATGTCATCCAGGTACTAATATTTCCATAATTTCGTAAAAGCACTATTGCCAATGCACATTTAATATAAACGACAAGTTTTTTGAAAATAGACATGTTTCGACATCTCATGATGCCATCTTCAGTATGAGTGAAATAATAGGTGCAACAAGGCTTATAAAAAAATAATATGATACATAAATTACAACAATAAAAAAGAAATAAGATAAACTAATTGGGAGCGTCCGAGCGTATTATAAACTAAATATGTATTGAATTTAAAAAACTTGAACATTGAGGTCAGGGTTAGTTTTCTTAGTGTGGAGTGTTTCTTTGATTTTAAGGGCGAATGAAGTGTCGGCAGTGTGGATGATTTTGAAGCAAGAGGGTGAATAGTTAATTTCACATGAGTGATATTTAAGAAGGTGTAGGTAGATATGAGAGTTCTTTGTTCGTTGTGGTAAGTTCCTTGATTCTGGTAGATAAATGGCGCGAAGTTTCGCCAATGTATCGGGAATTACATCACGCGCAATTGAATTCATTTACCACCATAGATTTAATTGAATCAGGGATTGGGTTTTTGAATGAGAAAAGGTTTTTGATTTGAAATCACATCATTCAAAGAAGCACTCCACATTAACAAAACTAATCCTGACTTCAATGTTCAAGTTTTTAAATTCAATACAATATTTGGTTTATAATACGCTCGGATGCTCCCCATTAATTTATCTTATTTCTTTTTTATTGTTGTAATTTATGTATCATATTACATTTATATAAACCTTGTATCACCTATTATTTCACTCATACTGAAGATGGCAACATGAGATGTCGAAACATGTCTATTTTCAAAAAACTTGTCGTTTATATTAAATGAACTAATATTTCATATCAATACTTTATTGTCGATTTCAGTTAACTTTTCAAATGGCGGTTGCCAAGTTACTTTCTATTGTTGCCAATTACATTTCCAAATATGGAATGTTCGTTTAGAACTTGTCAACTTAAATTCACAAGTTGTGTACTCGAGTACTGAAGTTGTGAACTAAAGTGGCGAAGTACTAGCAAACGCGAAAGTTCTATGTACCCTGTAGACATTTGACAATGAATCCGTTCAGTAAGCAAGGAAAAGCTTTAGCAATTGTAATCCGTTTGAAGGCACTCTAATAGTGCCACATTATGTAATAAATTTACAGTAAATGCGGCACTAGAAGCGCATCGTTCGATTTCAAATACAGGAGTACCCTGCATACTGTGCCTCGACGACTGTTGCCACTCGTAACAACTACAGACGACTCATCAAACAAATGCATTCGGCTGCAATCAATCAATGAAATATTTGCTACGTAAGCTTCTCTACTTCTCCATAACGCCCGGCCGTTCTTTCTCTCGAGTAATTTGACTTATTATCTTGTAAGTGTAACCAAGATCTTTATTCAAAATTCTATTAATGTATGACCTGCTTAGTATGTTTGCTGGAAGGCAAACTTTGTTATTTTCTAGGCGTTGCTGAATCTCTTTTGCGTAAATGGATGGTTTATTAATTTTAAGAAATTCTGTGTATACAATAATGTCATCTGTACACGCGGTTCGAACATCACGTTCGCTCTGGCGAGGTGCAATAGAACCAGTGTTTACCCATAGATGTATTATATTTGATATAGTCTTATACGGTAGGTTTAGTTGTTTCGAAATGTTTGTCAAACGCTCGTTATTTAACCACATTTCAATTGTTTCATTTCTTACTTCTATTGGCAAAGCTTTTCCTTGCTTAATGAACGGATCATTGTCAAATGTCTACAGGGTACAAAGACCTTTCGCGTTTGCTAGTACTTCGCAACTTTAGTTCACAACTTCAGTACTCAAGTACACAACTTGTGAACTTAAGTTGAGAAGCTCATAACAATTATTCCATATTTGGAAATGTAATTGTCAACATTAGAAAGTAACTTGGCAAAGCCAATTGAAAAGTTAACTGAAATCGACAATAAATACATGCTCTTTTGCAAGTATTTGCGCATGATCGTGACTAAAACACCACACGAGTACATACGAGTACATACGAGTAACATACGAGTACATACGAGTGACATACGAGTACATACGAGTAACATACAAGTACATACGAGTAACATACGAGTACATACGAGTGACATACGACTATTTTCTGGTCAACAAATGAGAAACAACACAATTTCTTCAATACATTGTTATTTGCGTTTATTTTTCCTTGTATTTGCGTGGACCTTGGGGCAACCATTTGATGGATTTAAATGCTGAAAAGGTATTTTACTTTAATACTACATTCATTTGTATGTTTTAGTTGAATTTGTTATAGATATTTTGTCGATGCGATTTGCCAGTATTTGAGCGCTTTTTGACACACTTCCTCCTAGGAAATACATATTTATGAAAGCGATTAAATTAACAACGTATAAATAATGCTTTCAAAACGTGCTATATGAAATAAATGTACATTATATATATTTGGATTAAATGAGAGTTGCAGTGTGTTACGTATATATATCATATTATGCGTACAATTTCAGCTTACTTTTAATGTTTTTAAAGTTCTAGCTGATATAATTCAGTCTTTTAACTGCAAAATCAGTATCTTAAAGACCAAAATGAATGTATAATTGCTTTCATAAATATGTATTTCCTAGGTGGAAGTGTGTCAAAAAGCGCTCAAATACTGGCAAATCGCATCGACAAAATATCCATAACAAATTCAACTAAAACATACAAATGAATGTAGTATGAAAATAAAATACCTTTTCAGCATTTAAATCCATCAATTGGTTGCCCCAAAGTTCACACAAATACAAGGAAAAATAAACGCAAATATCAATGTATTGAAGAAATTGTGTTGTTTCTCATTTGTTGACCAGAAAATAGTCGTATGTCACTCGTATGTACTCGTATGTTACTCGTATGTACTTGTATGTTACTCGTATGTACTCGTATGTCACTCGTATGTACTCGTATGTCACTCGTATCTACTCGTATGTACTCGTATGTACTCGTGTGGTGTTTTAGTCACGATCTTTGCGCATACGATAGAAATCACAATTAAGTAATAAGTGGAAATCAAATTTTTGCGTACGCCGTTTTGGCTGCCACCAAAGTTCACGAAATATTTGAAACTGGCTTTAAGTTACAACGGGAAGAAGGAAACGTCAAAAAGTTATATCTGCTAATGAGTGTAACTGATGTTATGAATTTGGTAAATAATATTCTATTTGTTTTTCTTTCACCTTCTTAACTGCTTTTACCAATCACATGCTTGGGTATTGATCATGTAAAGGATTGCGAGTTAAAGCAGCATAGCAATTGGTTTGGTACGATTTTATATATGTTGCAGTTTAGCACATACTTTGTAGAAATAGTATAAATATATTTTGACTCTGAAGATAACTACCGCTAAGGTTTTCAACAAAAACAGTCCTTCTCAGGACTATACTAACCTGGACGATCTATATCTACAAACATGTAACGATACTCTCGGGCTCAACCAATTTACTTTATTACGATCATTTGGACGACAGAGCTAACTACTTGCTAACGACTACATACGTTTTGCAAGCAACGTCAGACTCATACGCCAACAACTCTGGTTCAACCACCGCTGCAAGGATTTTGGTCTCGTACAAGCAGGACTTAGAATTAAGTCGCCGTTGAACACACAAGAGGCTATTTGGATTGTCAAATCCACTAGCAAACAATACACAATTGACACCCACACGTTTCTTGTACACAAAATACAATGACGTAAGAACCAGATAACAAATGCGGCTAACCTCACGTTTACTCCTCATTTGACTCTGAAGATGACTACCGCTAAGGTTGTCGAAACGTCAGTCAAAAACAACAAAAGCAGTCCTTCTCAGGACTATACCAACCTGGACGATCTACATCTACAAACATGTAACATTCTTCATTTGTAACTAAAATTACCGAGCACTTTAGAATTTGTCTTTCTGGCCATGAATGAATGATGAAAGCTGTGCATAAGTGCAAGGCACAACGAAAGCATCTTCCTCTGGCCAATTGTCATAAATGAAATTTTGCTAAGCTATAGCTCTCGTGTGCGACATAAGTCATAGTATTTTTTTTTGAAGATTTCGCGCGATGCAAATCGACTATAAGTTTTTTTATCTATGTTTTATCATAACCATGAATGTTTATTTGCTCACTATTAGCGTGCTATACTTTGCATTTTCGACACGGACGAATGCATATTGACAAAGGTGTCATTCGCCTTACCTAATTTTGCACTACTCGGAGAACCAAATACCCAAATAATCGCTTGAACAAGATGGTTGCAGACGCAAATTGACAAACAGTTTGACACAAAATGGTAAGTCATTCGAAATTGTATCGTCAAATTGCTATATTTATCAAAAAACTTTCTTTGTTACTCTCGCAGAGCATAATATTAAATAACGATTGAAATATTTACGACAATTACTTTCACCACGCAACGGAATGTTCATTAAAATACAGCAGTATTTTCTCGTATGTAACTGCATACAACAATTTATGTCTATTTTCATCTTAATTTCTATTCAGTATACCAAAAAACGTTTTTTTCATATTAATTTGTCGTCAATGATACTTATCAAACATTTTATGCGACGTGCGTGTATAACATTACCCTGTTCACTTACGACACACAAGTGACACGTTGCTTATGCCTGTTTCAAACGTCGCATTTTACATGAGACGAATGCATTTAAAGTGCTACTGAAGTTAAATTTTCATACTTCGTTTTTTCACATAAACATTTTCTTTGTATTTACTGATCATTTTGAGTTATTGCACACTGAATTTGATTTAGGGGAACGCATTGAAATTTGTGTTCAAACATGGCACTTTAATGCGAATTTGCTTTGAGCGCGTGACGTCATTTAAAGGACGGAGTTCTATTTTAAAGCTATCACTTAATAAAAATATATACGAACCAGAATATTTCCAGCATGAGTTTTACATTTTTTATAACTTTTTTCTCCAAGAATCAAGTATAGCTGGTAAAAAATGAGTAATACCAATAAGAATACAGCATATACAACCATTATAGTTTTATTAACTTCTACAATAAACTTATATTTCTCGATGAACTGGGTACTGTTTCCCTGTCAACAACAGCGAGATTACACATAATATAAATATTAACACGGTTTATTTTACCGTCACATGAAAACATGTGACTTGGACGAGATTTGAACTCGCACCTTTGGGATACTAGTCCGCCGCTCTACCTGTTGAGCTACCAAGCCCACAGGGATTGGAGACGAGTCAAATATTTTAAAACTACGTATGGACGAAAACTAAAATGGCGGAAAATAGTAATACAAACATTGTTGATCAAATTCTGCCAAATTTAAACGAACATTCTTCAAGAATCTCGCCTCAAACAAGTGCAGAAACAAAGCTAAAGTAAGTCACATTTTCAATTCTAATACAGGTAGACGGCGGTCTACATCAGTTGTACCAACTACGAACACTACCGAACAAAATGTGCCGAGGAGGAGTTTTGTCACGACGCGAAATTTTACTTCACAGCGCCCGTCTGCTTCTAAGCGAAGAAGGATTAGGGAATCTAAAAAAAGGCATGGTGCTATAGATAATAGACCATTCTTATGCGAGCTTATTTTGCTGGGAGGACCGAATGCTTCTGTCGTTTCTCGTCATAGAGCATGCCTTGCTCTGATGGAACGGAGTCACATGATGTCAGGCTGCAGATTCACCAAGGCAATGAACGCTGCACAAGTGGAAATTGCCATAATGGAAGCTTTTGTTGACAAAACTCCAGCTGGTGTGGATATCGAAATATTAATGTCAATGCACACATCTCTTGTTGTGCCATTTTTGGCTCATGGTCAGATTGGCATTGATGGAGCAATTTTGCAACGGCTCTTTCAGAGTAAACCAGTTTAGGTGTGACCAAACAAACAGATCATAACTGAGCATCATGTATGAGTTTCTGTTGTCCTCTTCCGTGGTTTAAAAGCTGCATCAACTGTTTTACTTGCACATGTGTATGTTAATGCACCATATTTCAGCATCTTGATTGGAAAAACGAAATAATTGACAATATTATACTCATCATATATAAATTAAATATGCAGTCAATGTGGAAAAATGTGTAATTTAATATAATACACATCACAGGAATAGTTTGTGAAGTCCCTGTTATATTTTTAAATAATGATTTGTTTGGTGATGTGCACATTTCCAGAAGCTCTACTGATGCCAATCATAAGCCATTGGCTTTGCCTCGAGATACAGCACAATCTCTATTATCACTGCCTCCAGAGACAGCACACACGCTTCTTTACAATCAACCACTGACCTTCATACAATTGGTGTACAGGATACATCAGGTTAGTTACATTAAATATTATATTGCCACCATGCTTTATCTTATTGCTAAATTATATTATTTTTTTTACAGCACAACCTCCGTTTTCATTGCCTTAAGAGACAGCACAAGCTTCTTTTCAATCTACTACTGATCTTCATGCAGTTTGTGTACAGGATACATCACATTATTGCCACCATGCTTTATCTTATCGCTAAGTCAATCTAAAGATGGTGGATTCTCAGGTTAGCAGTCCGATAGATGCGTGAGTCGGAATCGTATAGATTATAAGTAAATAATTTTTTCTTCGATCTAGTAAATAATGATATAGTGTAAAGAACAAATGTGCAGTTTAACAGTATACCAAACGAAAATACATGAACTCACTTCTTTGCCGGGTCCTCACGATCTACATTAATTTCAATACAGGTTAGCCGATATAATAAAGTAATACAATGATGAAGCTTTCGCCCTGGTTAGCATGTGGTAACTGTCAGCTGCACTATAGACTCAAATCCCTTTTATCCCAATGAATATTGCGCGTCAAATTACGCGTCAGTTAAAACATGCATAAATTAAACTCCAGTGCTAAATAATTATATCCGTGCAGTTTGTCAGCAATCCATCCTCCCCGATAAAGAAACATTACTTATCAGTTTATTTCTTCTGCTGCTTGAATCACAGCGATCTTGGTGATTGGTCTCGAGTACTCCCCTGAACTTGTTTTGACCTTTACGTTTCGTACCTTTCCATCCTCTCCCGGGTACCCTTCTACTATCCGTCCTACTGTCCACTTTCCTCGTACAGCATTTCCGTCAGCCACTATTACCACATCATCGACTCGCACATTTCTTTTCCTGATTCCATTTTTCCTGGGGACAAGTAATGGAAATGTGTCTCTTGTCCATCGTTTCCAAAACGAGTCCACGATCTTTTGCACAAACTCCACCATTCTTCTGGGGTTTTTGGTTTCTTGAAATGGACCTTGTGGTACTTGAACAGATGCTCTACCCAGGAGCATATCATTGGGGCACAAATATGAGTCGTCATCGGGATCATTCGGAGGTCGTCCAATTGGGCGTTGATTTACTAAGTTCGCTACTTCCAGTAAACAAGTATACAGCTCAAACGGAGTAAGTATGTGTTCTCCAATCGCTCTCTTCAGGGCTCGTTTGCAGCTTTTCACCATCGCCTCTGCACATCCGTTTTGATGTGGTGCCGCTGGGGTGCTAAGCTTCCATTGTACTCCCTTTTCCGCGCAGTAGTCTTGAAGTAGCCTTTTGTCAGCTCCTTGGATCATTTTGCGCAGATTGGTCAATGCACCAACAAACTGCGTACCGTTATCACTCAAGATTTCTGCTGGGTATCCCCGAATTGAGAAGAATCTTCGCAGAGTCTGGATAAATTCCATCGCTGAACAGTCGGTGGCGATTTCTAGGTGGACTGCTCGAGTATTTAGGCACGTAAAGATTACTCCGTAATGTTTCGTTCTCTTGTTTCTTCCCACTTTGACAGTCAGTGGTCCAAAGTAGTCGCATGCTGTGTAGTGGAACGGTGGGGAATGGGGTTGAAGTCGCTGTGGTGGTAAGTTGGCCATTATCTGTGATTCAGTTTTTTGGGTTTGCTGCTCGACATGTGACACACTTTGCCTTGATGCTCTTTGCTAAATCGTGTGCTCGAATGATCCAATACATTCTTCTGATTTTTGCTACCGTAGTTGCCACCCCGTGGTGACCTTTTTTGTGAAACTCTTCCACTATCAATTTGGAGATTCGGTGATTATAGGGCAAGAGAGCAGGATGCTTGGTTTCGTAAGAGACTAATGAGTTATCAATTCTTCCGCCAACTCTAACAGTGCCTTCTTCATCGGTAAAAGGGCTCAGAGATCTTAATTCGTTAGATTTCAATTGTGCACGAATCTTTGTTTAAGCTCTTTTAATCCAGAATGTCCTACTTCTTTCGAGTTCTGCCGGTGTTAAGCAATCTCCTCTTGCTGTGTCCTTCGCTGTCGACCGTACCTTTGCTAATAATGTTTACTTAGCTCTCAAAACCCAAGCAGTAACTCGTACGAGCTTTCTCCAACTTGAAAACCTTTCACTGTCAATTACGTTTACTGACGTTGTGACTGCACCTACCAATTTTCAACTTCTACATTCCCTTTCAACTTCTTTTGCATCGGGTTTTGCGTTTTCGACCGGCCATTCTTCCTTTGGCAAGTACAGGAATTCAGGACCGTTTTTCCATCTATCCGACAGCTCAACAACACGGAGACCACGGGATACATCATCTGCCACGTTCTGATCCGTTGGGATGTGTCTCCATTGAGCAGGTTGGACGTTGCTTTGTATTTCCCCTACTCGACTTGAAACAAATGGTTTGAGTCGTCTTCTCTGGCTGCGGATCCACGCAAGAACAATTGCGCTGTCGGTAAACAAGACACTCTCTTTTAGTGGTATACGGAGTTCATTTTGGATGGTCTTGCATAAACGGCTGGCTAACACGGCTGCTTGTAGTTCTAATCTGGGTATTGTTAGCTCTTTCAATGGGGCGACTCGTGACTTTGCTGCAACAAACCGTACGTTCACTACTCCATTAGGTCCTATACTTCTCAAATATGCACATGTTCCAAATGCTTCTCGCGATGCGTCGGCAAAGGCACATAAGATCGGTGGCTCAATCATTACAACGGGACATAGACATCTTTCCAACGATATTTCGTTTAACTGATCCATCTCTTTAAAGTACGTCAACCATTTTGTTTGATCACTTTGCGATAGTTCATGGTCCCAGTCGAGTCCTTGCTGCCACAGTTCCTGCAAACCAATCTTTGCCCTTATAAGGTAAGGTGCTGCAAAGCCTATTGGGTCATATATTCTAGCGACTTGGCTTAGGATCTTCCTCTTTGTGAACTTTGGCTGTTGGGTGTGGCATATTTCTACTTTTACTTTATACTTAAGCACATCCTCTTTCTTGTTCCAGGCCAGGCCGAGCACTTTTGACTCTTGTTTTCCATGAGGAACATCAACTTCATTACCATCTTCTTGCTCGTCTTTCCTGTTCAACTCTCCGTTTGATTGCCATCCCTTCACATGAAACCCGCCATTATCAAGGATGCTGTCGATTGCTTTAGTCAACCCGATTGCTTCTTCATTTGTAGCAACTGAATCCAGAATATCGTCCATGTAAGAATTGTCCTTTATAACTTTTGCTGCTCTCGGGTTCTCTGATGCTCCTTCATCTGCAGTTTACCGCAAGGCAACTTGGGCCATCGCAGGTGCAGGTTTGTCACCGAACGTAAGTACGTTCATAACGAAAGTGTCCGGAGGTCTATCAATCTCTAAATTCCTCCATAGGAATCGGTGTACCTGCTGGTCTTCGACAGGGATAAGGACTCGGTGATACATCTTTGAGATGTCCGCAGTGAGGGCAACTTTATTTTCCCTAAAACGGAGAATAACTCCGAATAGAGAGTTCAGAAGATCAGGCCCCTTTTGCCAATAATCGTTCAGCTTATGTCCTCGGAACGTAGCGGAGGAGTTGAAAACGATACGAACCGGGGTGCTTGTACTGTCAGGTCTTAGAACTGCAGGGTGGGAGATGTAATGGACTGGTTCTTTGTGTTCCTTAACTTCCTTCTCGGATAACTTTCGAGAAAACCCCATGTTTTCCATTTCTGTCATCTTGTTGTTGTACGCTGCTGCTTGCGTAGGAATTTTCAATAATCGACGCTCAGTTGACTCTAGTCGTTTCAATGCCTGGATTCTGTTATCTGGTAAGTCTTGGGGGTTTTTCTTCCATGGGTATGGAATCATCCACTGCTTTCCAACCTTTTTTGCAGACTGTTCAATCACTTGCTTTTCTTCTCTTTCGGATTGGCTCAATTTTTCAGCTTCACAGGTGCACGGCTTTACTGTTACTCCCATAGCTTCGGTTGCCCAAAATTCTGATAAATCAACTGCTTCTGGGTACCTCACGTGTAATACAGTTGTTGTTGCAATGTTTGACTGTCCCGTTGATGATACGAACAGAACCCATCCGAGTGGCGATTCTCTCGCGACAACATGTTCGACTTGCTTTGTTTGACCCGTGTGCATGTATGCATGATCGATTCCAACAAGTAAGTCGACTTGGCCCTTTCCACGCTTCACCTTATCCTTTGGTAATCCGAGTTTTTCGCTTGCATTCCCGGTATTGATTCCTTTGACATCCTCACTGATAGATGGTATTCCAACTGCAGTGATTGTATACTTCTTTGATTCTCCGATTCTGCTTACTTGAACTTTGTAGCTCTTTGTGCAGATTGACTCTTCCTCTCCACCTATTTTTATGATGTTAACGGAGATGTCTTTCCCTTTCAGACCGAGACTCTCCGCCGTTTCGCTGCGGATTAGACTTATCTGAGCTCCAGAATCCAGAAGAACGTTGCCGCGCTTGTAGAGACCATTTGATCCGCAAATGTTAGCAGAAATCACTGGTAGGATTGAGTCGTTTAGACCAGTTACTGATGCAATGGTTGCACCTGTTTTGTGCAGCAGCGGATGGTGACTGGATGTGCACTGGACTCCATTTTCATACTTGGTGCATTGCTTTCGCCTGTTGCAATTTGCTTGACGATGATCCCGACCCGCTTTCTTCAAACAGCTGAAACACACGTGATTATCTTTCGCAACTTTTATTCGCTCATCGACAGACATCGCTGCCAATTTTGACACTGGTCCGGCCAATGATTTGAGTTCTTGCAGAGCCAACACTTGAATCGGTTTTTACTTTCTTCCGTGACTGTACCATTGACATGATTGACTTTGCGTCGAGTGAGAGACGTACCACTCCTGACTGGGGCTGTTGCACGCATGCGCGACTTCATCTCAATTGTCATCCAATTCATCAACGCTTTAAGGGTTGCGGGCTTTTCTCTCTCTAAGTCTCTCGACCACACTTTTCGATCATCTGGACACATCTTTTGTTCAATTATGGATAGCATGTGGCTGTTATCCATGTCACTCGGAACCCCTACCTCTTTCAACGTGTTGAAACACCGCCTAACCAAATGAACTAAATCACAGAAACGCGCGTCCTCTCCTGTTTCTAGGGCTTTAAATTTAACGATGTCCTGCGTTATGGTGTCTGATACGTACCGAGGGTCCCTGTAAATGGAATCTAAGTATTCCCACGCTGCATCATAATCAGAACCAATACCTTTTATTAATTCAAGTGGTTTCTCTTTCAAACAAGTTCGCAGTAGTGTTATTGAATCTCGTTTTGTATATCTCGATTCAATTGTATGCTTGAAATCCGCACGAAATATTGCATATTCACGTACGTCGCCCGAAAATTTTGGTAGCTTTGGTTTTTCCATTTGAAACCCGCAGGGACTTCGTGTATTTTCAGATTCATTTTTTACTTCAGATTGGAAAGTAATTTGATTCGGAAAATTTTCCTCATTTGTTGGGCTTATTTCGGTGGGAGCGTTGACAGATTCCTCGGAAATTACCGCGTGGGAACTTTCCGCCACATTGCTCATTTCATCACCTACGCTGGTCGGGTTTTCTTCAATAGCTGCGGGGCTCATATTACTTGCGCTGTCAACATTTTGCATTCCGATCATTCCAGACGAATTTTGCTCGTTTTGACTGATGCTAGTTTCTGAAGTTTTCACTGAAACCAATTGTTCGATATAATATTTTGCCTCAATATCAAGTTTTAAAATTCGTTTTGGCACTCATCTAACCAATGCTCTTCTGCTTCAAAAGCTTCATCGTTCATAATCAAATTTGCATAGAGCTCATGTTTCTCTACCACGTTGTCGAACGCTTGTTTTACTTTGACGAGATAGTCGCTTACCTCGTTTGCTGGTCTTTTATTTATACACAGATGATTCAAGGCCTTTCCCAGTCTTGTCAATGTAGACTTGGCTGCTCGGCGTTTGAGCTTAGCAGTCTTCAGTGCCTCGTCTTCGTTACTCATGGTTCAGGTTCTCCACGCGATTAATTTTTCTTCAGAAATCGAATGTTGTGGATTCTCAGGTTAGCAGTCCGATAGATGCGTGAGTCGGAATCGTATAGATTATAAGTAAATAATTTTTTCTTCGATCTAGTAAGTAATGATATAGTGTAAATAACAAATGTGCAGTTTAACAGTATACCAAACGAAAATACATGAACTCACTTCTTTGCCGGGTCCTCACGATCTACATTAATTTCAATACAGGTTAGCCGATATAATAAAGTAATACAATGATGAAGCTTTCGCCCTGGTTAGCATGTGGTAACTGTCAGCTGCACTATAGACTCAAATCCCTTTTATCCCAATGAATATTGCGCGTCAAATTACGCGTCAGTTAAAACATGCATAAATTAAACTCCAGTGCTAAATAATTATATCCGTGCAGTTTGTCAGCAATCCAGATGGACTTAGATTAATGAGACCAATACCGGTTAATGTAGATCTTTAAATTACCAAGTCATACCAAAAACTAATTTAATATAAAAGCTAGTTGTTGCTGATATGTTTTCAAGAATTAATTTTCATATCAATATATTCTTGGCTTAGGCAGTTAAAAATTTTTATTGCAATACGCGCACTTAAAATACAAGAGTAAATCAATTTTAAAGTTATCAATAGCATCATAGTTCACCAGTTCTATGCACATTGCACATTTTAACAAAATCAATTTCCTTTTTAACGTGTTGCAATAGTTTACGAAAATTGAAATGGCATACCCGACAAGCCAAGTAGCCTATATGTACTGTAGAAAAGCTATGCCGAAATATATTGTAAAATACATTACAAAATCGAAATTTCACGGCGCATAATTCAACTTACGCTGCTAGAATACAACCTGTGAGTGCCAATGAAATCTCTTGCATAAAGCTTCTTGTGACTTGTTTCGGTACTGTGTTTGCCACTAGGGACCACGCACAGTTAATATCCTTCTTTGTTTCGATTAGTATGGCAACACACATCATAAAGCATAAGTTTTTGTTATTTAACTCTTTGCAAAATATGATTCAATTGTGCTTTTGGAAAGCGTTAGTATGCATTTGTCTTACATTTACGCTTGCCTTTGTCATTTTTATGATCATTGCGAGGTCAGATGTTTTATTTACCTACACAAACCAGTTTCCGAAAAGCTTCTTGAAAACATCCTTTGTATGCCAATTTTTTTCTTTGACAGAAGAGCGCACTGGAAGGTTTGGCGACGTATTCGCAATTTTGAAGTTTGTTTAAAACTCAGAATGAGTATATAATGAACAAAAACTCCAATTTACAGTTATAGAAACTCTTGTAAAAGTTTGGAAGAAGTTCAAAATTGCTTGAACACACTTACACTATGCGGATTTGCAAGACATTGCATGATGAGGGCTGCGTTTTCTGAGTTGGAAGGTCAAAACTTTGAACTCAGAACAAGACATTTATAATTGAAATAACCCAACATTCTTTATCATAAATCGTGGATTTATGACCGTTTCGCTCAATGTCGGAGCTCGTCAGCATGTCTGGGAAAGTCGCAGAGAAATATACGTTAAGGGCTTCCAGCATAGAAGGCCTGGTTCGTTACAAACTTAGCAAAAAAATTATTTACGCTTCATCAACTTTTATATGGAATTGCACTTTTTAATGGTCTTGTCATATCTAAATGCTGATTTTTATGGAAACGATTTTATGTCAATATATCAAATGAAGTTGTGGACTAAAAGCAATTAAAATGTGTGTAGATGTTGATCGGTAGTTTATGGCTTCATTGTGAAGTTAAAAGTTTTGAGGTCAGTTTTGCTAATACTGACATTTCTCCTTTAACATAATGCCATTCATTGTCCTGTGTACAGTCATAAAACAAAAAGTTACCTTAAATTTACTATGGGTGAATTTATTAGGTGCATAGGGCGTGGCTCTGTATGCAATAGCATTACAAATTTTTTTGCCAGATAAGCCACTGCTTTGAACAATTTTACAAAGCCCAACAATGTTCATTCGACATTTTGGCATCGGACAGAGGTCCAACTTGAAATAAAATGGAACAAATTAGAGCAAATAAAGAGAGGTCGATTGTGCACTAAAATGAAGACACTAGACGAAATAAAGTTTTTGGTGCGATTTTACAGCCAATAGACTCAGGGTCATTTGGATTAGGCCTTGTGCCATGCCATTGTCTGGAAACAAATGAAGAAATAAATAATATTGGTGCCTGCCATATCTTTAAGAAAAGCTCAAAATGTCGATACAACATCTTGTGTTTACCCCAAGTCATTGGCAATACGCGATTTAATAACAACTGGAAATCTAGTTCGACTTCAAAAACAGCAGTTTTACAATTAGAATCCTTTGATATTCAAAGATGTTCGTGGTCACCATACAGCTCTTCAATATCAATGGAAATAGAAGAAAAAAAAAATGCAAGTGAAGGATTTCACGATCCGTTCCACGAAAAATGCAGTGATGTCTCATCTTCTTTTAAAGGCGATTAGGTAGTGAAAAAGTATTAGGAAAGCTCCATTGAAACTGTTCAGGGTATATTGAAAATAAGTGTTGAAGCGCATACCCGAAAACCAGTGCAAATGCAAAGCGTTGCTCGAAACATAACTCGACGCTTTGCATCAAATGTCTGGAGGAATCCCCGGGAAACCATTTTATTTCGGAAAGTGTTTTATTCAGTACTTGAGAACATGCCTGTCACAGTTGAGAACTATATCCATGGGGAATTCTTTAAGTACGTAAACAACGATGAAGAGTGCTTAGTTCCTCCCAATGAAAAGTCACACGAGTTTTTCTTAAAAGCACAGTGTCTTACTCATTTCAGTATGAAAATAGCAACGAAGAACTTATGCTTTTGCATCTTCAAGGTTCCAAATATTCACTCTACGATCCACAAATATCTACAACTAAGCCTTATGATGCTTTAACGTCTATAAGCAAATCAATTATTCTTAACAAAGAAACTTATTTTGTGCAGGAAATTTATCATTTTATGTGAGCAATGAAGTCAAACGGCAACATAATTGTGCAAGTTTTGCGAAAGGATGGGACTTAGCAACCTGCCTAGATGTTATGGTTTCTCTTTTTATGACACAAGTAGCTACATACCAACAGAAGCTAAAGTCCTGAATCTATAATGAAGGTACATACTTTTTACTGCTACAGACAGCATTGACTATTCCATTTTATGTATTATATATTAAAAGGATTGTACTTTTGTTGCTATAATGTTTACATAGATTGTAGTTGAAAGTATTAAGGTTGAAAAAATATGCTGGAAATAACATTCTCTTGTGTTTTCTTATGTCTAACTCTGGTCACAAGGGTTTTGTAACAAAATCTATAAATGTTCTGTTAATGCTTTTAGAACAATTTGGATTTGATTAATAAATGTTAACAACAAAATATTGAAATCAACATGCCCTTTCGAAAAATTCTAAATTAATGTCAGAGTTTTTTATAGAGTAGTACTGGTAGTAGAATCTTTTAGAACCTAAAGACGTTTTAACTTTCTTTGGTAGTCTCTCGATAATTTTCAATCCATGTTCTACAAAGTCAATATTGCTTTTCCACCACACAGAAAGGAAAGACATACTAAATGTCATGTCAAATGTCATGTCAAGCTGAGTGTTTGCGTTATAATTGCAAACTTTGCTTCAGATAAATATACGCTTATGTTACTTTATTCAAATCCAGATTTTCAGAAGCAAGCAGAAGTCTTACACATTTTCTCTAACTCCTAAATGGACGCATTGCTATATTGAATCAACGAAACTTCGAGACTTCTGCAACCTCCTTCAAATGATCTGGAAATATTAAAACACAACAATGTTCTCCAACATATTAGACAGCTTTAGCAAACGCAACGCGACGTCAACTAAGACGTCTAAATGTTGAGGAGAACTGGGTCGAGGACGACGTTTGTTGTCAAAATATTTCGGCTTAGCCTTTTTGAGACAGGAGTCGTGGACGTAAAAATTTATAGTTCACGTTCAAATAGTTTATTTTCTTCAAAGGGACGAGTAAAAAACAGTTATTTTTACGAAATACAAATGTTTGGTAAAAAAAGAGTGAGATGGAATTCAATATATGTTTGATTTTCAGTCGTTCACAGACGTAAATCGCAGCAAAATTTTGGAAATCAAGTTAATTAGCTTATGCACGTATTTTTGATGAAAATCTTCTGTTATTGCGTTGTTACATTAGAAATTTTGAAAGGATTTAATATTTGATTTTTTTCGTTTTTGACACAAACTTTTTATGTGAAAACATCATGAGAAATCTTTTATAAGTGTTCAAAGGAACTAATAGTATTTTTTTCAAGAATTTAATAGACACATGTGTAAAAGACATAAATTTCTAGGGATGCATGATAAGGATAATTGTTATATTGGTGGAAAAGAACTACTAAACCAATGGTTTTAGGCTTGTTCTCTTACTGCGAAAACATTTAAAAAGTAAAATTCCATACATGGAATCACTCATGCCAACTTATTTGGGTATTGCACGTATACCTCATTTCTTTAGAAAAATTTAATTCTTAAAATCAGGGTTTGTAATGAAGACTAGTTAAATTTCCTACCATAAATAGCTTTCGTACTAGAGCCCTCTATTTATAAAAGTTGGGACAACGGGTCTGGCGCGAGCGCGGAGCCGCCGTTTTCGATCCTACTTACAATACGAAATAATATTGAGTTTGTGTGATATTGGCTAAATGACCTAAATGACCAGCAATTCCGCATTTTTTAATGGAAATTTTAAATATATCATAATCGGCAATGAAGCCTTTGGCGTTTTTGTGAATAATTACTGCAAACAAAACTCAATTTTATGGATTTGAGCTACATTCGCGCTTGACTAGTTCGTGCTTTGAAACTCTTAGTGACCCAATTTAGGGTTTTTTTTACGTCTCCGAACGTATATTCTGGCAGTTTTCAACAACAGCACCAGTATATTTGTTTTCATTGCTTATAATTAACGTGCGATGAAGAAAATACTAGTTATTTCGAATGCATATTCTTGATCAGGAAAACGCGTAACTATACCTCAGATCTGAATGAATGCTTTGGCAGGTATAAAGTAAGTCAAAATAAATCACTGCAGCTTATTTTTGGTTATATTTACATTTCGAAACCGTAGAAGCAACTTAACTGGTAAAAATGTATTCTGTAAAAATTCTAGAATAATAACGTAATTCTAAAACTAAAAGTAATTTGAATTTACAATTGAACTGCTATAATTTATTTTAAATTAAACTGTGCTTGGAATTGTTAGTGTTATCCATGGCTGGACAAGGCTTTGTTTTGAAGCACTGTAGTCATGAAATTTTGCTTAGGTATTACATATTTTGCAATGTGCTCCAAGCATAAAAATTTAATGCACACAGATTACAATGGTTTTGCTGGAAGATTATGACTTAAGATATTTGTTATTATGCAATAGTTCTTTAATAATCTATTAATCAAATGTGAAGTTGCTTATTTCTTTATTGCTTGTGAAACTGCGATTATAGTTGAAGTGTAATTCAAATGCAGAATGATATAGGCTTCTATTTGGTGAGGCATATGTTCAAAATGAACTTATTTTGTTCAATATAAAAGAATTCTGTTGTTTAAGAACTGTCTTGTTTGTTGCAATTGTTACTGTTTGTACAGACTTTGATATTACATATGAGTCTGATCCAATTTTTAATCTAGCTTATAAAAGAGTTGAGTCGAAAACAATCATCGTCAATGAATCTTTATGTCAAGAGCAGTTTGAGAAAATAGTCACTGCGCGCAGTCCAATCTATGGTAAAGCTATTTCTTTCATGCTTCCCGATTCCATGATTCTATCGATATGTTGTCATATGAACTAGCTATAAAATAATTAATTATTATAGCCCATATCTCCAGAAAATCAAATGTTTTCTCATAATACAAGCAAACTTGCTGTAATCGCCATATAAACATTAATTCAAATTTCAAACGTAAGAACGAAATAGGCGGAAATTAATCAAATGACGGATGTTGTCCAATCAACATTTGCAAACAAGAAGCAAAACATGTCCCAACTTTTACAAATAGAGGGCTCTGTAACGAAATAGTCAAGCACAAGCTTTTCTTACACGATTTTTCCTGTCAGGAAACTAAGATTTATTTTTAGTTCCCACAATATGTGCTTTTTGTGTGTCAGCAAAATGGTAGCGAAACCTGGCAAGTTGCCTTTTATAATGCAATGCGGTTTTGAGTGTTTATTCCCTAGAAAATTTTTTTTATTTTATTATGTATTACTGTAAATTATTTTAATTTTGTTAATGTTAATAAACCCAAAGGAAACTTTGCATTTTATATGTAGAGATTCTGGCTAACTATTCAGGAAAAACATTTTTTCAGCTATTCTCTAGATATACCACATTTTTTTTAGTTCATCCCACCTATACAAAATTATCTGATTTTGTTGTTCACACTTCATTTTGTACACTTCTTAGATTAATTTTCCATATTAAAACATGTGCACTTGATTGATTTACTTCGAATTATTATTTATTGTACTTCCGTGTACAAAGTAAAAAAATTACATCACTATTTACAGTTGATTGTATGTGCAGCATTTTCCTCGAATACTAATCACAGAATTTTTTCTTATCTAGAAAAATTTAAAAATGCTGATTTTTATTGTTCTGGTTTCAAGTATATTGATTCAATTATGTTTGTACACAGGGTATTTAAACACTAAAGGTAATACTTGATGTAGGTAGTATTTTTCCAATATTTAAAAAGTTTCTTTGAAATTTGAGGTTGTATACATTTAGTTTACACGTAATTACTTTCAAAATTTATTTTAGCAACCGCTTTTATAAGTTCTTTATAATGTCAATTATATTACCATAGAGTAATTGTTATGCTAATAGCAAAATAGTGAATATTGTGATATGTTTGTCTTAAATAAGAGAAATAATAGAACTATTTTAACAACAGAAGTTTAAGAAATGACATTGAAGTTGTAAGGAAACAAAAATAATGCCACTTTACCTTTTCATTCTAGGGTGTAAATATGGAGAGGGGTACTAATCAAAATAGGCAGGATGGTACAGCGGCTTTTCATAAATAAAATTACTTCTAACACATTAACAAAACAAACAAAGACAAATAACGAGAATTCAAGGCTAAAAAACTCTAAGAATGCACAACATAATAATTATTTTTGATACCATTTCATCCCAAACTATTATATATAACAATGTGGCTAACAATATAATATATGCATATGGTGTAAAAAAGCAAAACCATATAATATATTTTTTTGTTATTACAAAAACTAACAAAACTACCTTTTATCTCATTAAATCACCATTTTCACTCAATAGCAGGTACTTGGTGTTTTTTAAAATATTCTCTTTGGACAAAAAGTGTTTGTGAGATGCTTAAGCTTGTTGCAACCTAAAATTACAACTTGGTCAAACCTTTTTTATGACCTGCAATGTTTTCATACACAACAAAACAACATTCAACAACTTATTATAATCTACTCTTAAATCATTCTAAAAGAAGAAAAGATGTGCCATTCTTGCTCACCTCACAAATGCAAAGAGCATTTTCGAGTGACTATTTTGGGGCATCTACTATTCTACTCAAACTTATTAAGCACTTACGTGTATTCATTTGTTAGCGCATTTGTAGCTCTTATCATTTTTGTACTTAACTTCACCTGTCCTTGTTGGTGCTACGTATGCATTATTTTCTTCTGATTTTTCTTCATGAACTAAAATAAAAAGTGCAATATTAATCTTCTAGATTATTCATCATATGGACAACAGCCAAAACTAAAAATGTGGGCAGAGAAACTCTTCTCACAGATTGCACCTCAAACGCTGCAAATCATAGAAAGTAAGAATTTTATATAGCATTGGTTGTAGTGAAAAGAACAATAAATTATAACAGCCCATTTTTAAAAATATTTGAATTTTTAATGTTTTTACAGAGGTTTGATTAGAATTTTAAATTCATAAGCAGTAGCTTGCTTATGACATTTTATAGCTTTAACAATCAATTGAGCTACTGCAGTCTAATTTTGAAAACACTGGATCATCTTTTTTGTATTTTTTTTTGTCTTTTGAGTAACGTTTTGCAAAATGTACCATGGCATTTAAAGGATAATATGACTATGAAAGAGGATTCAAAAACAAAAACAGATGTCAAAAACTGTTCAATTTCACCTCCTCTCCCCCTCCCCCCATGAGGATGTTTCTGAAAAATATAATATGTAATTGGTGATGCCTGAAAGTTTGTAGTACAACGAGGTCTTTCGAAAATGATTGTAAAATGTATTCAGCTTTATGCTTCTGCTCATCACTAGGCTTTTTTGAAATTCATATAACTGTCTACAAAGGAATAAAGTTTTTTTTTAATGAACTATAATTTCACTGATTGTAAAGGAAAACTTTCATGAAATCCATTCTTATTTTCAATAGTATAACCTTTTTTCCGTTTAGTTGATAAAAAAGTTGTTAAAAATCCTATAAAATTTTAGAGCTTTAAAGTTCCAAGTCTTTAAATAACATTTGCGAAATTGTTGGAATGCAGCTGCTGATTTCTAATATAGAAATCTAATTCTCTACTGACAAATTTCCTTGTTTGAATTGTCTTAATCTGTGTTGTATAAGGTCGCAATTTTGATACTGCAAAAATTCGGACATATATGTCGAGAATCTTGTTTCAGGGGCAAAAAAATTAAGTTACAAGGCAACAATATAGTATTTTACGTACGAATGTTCAAAGTTCCTTTTTTCATTTTGCTTTATTCGACGACTACGTTATTCTTAAGACTAAAGGGAAGAATGCTACTTATCAAGTTGCTTAAATGAGATAAAGTGTTATATACCGGTATAAAATAAACAATAGGTTGGAACGCTCATATAAGTATATGAAACAGGTAAATGAACGTATTTCAAATATCATTAAAACCCCTGTTGGTTTAAATACTTTATGCTGTCAACCATTTTTCATAAAAATACGTTCTGCAATGCATAAGATGTCGTTTACTATACCAACGAATAAATTTGCTTTTGACTCGTATTCATTTATATGTATTTCTATTTTTTTAAACAGTTTGTCTTGTTTATTGTTCTTTTTTGTTATAATAAATATTACGAGGAAAACATAGAAATTTTGGTTTGATTAAGGTTTGGAGCTTTATTGTGGTATTACATGCTTGTCAATGATAGATTAACGCTTTATTTCTCTTTTTTTTTGTCTTTTGAATTTGATCTTTTCTTTGATCTTGCTATACGACAAGGCATTGAGAGCGTTAAAGAAAGCATCATACCAACTTTACATGTATAACATTAATTACAGCCCAATCACTAAAAATAAGTAGAACGGTTAATGATAAAGACATAATTTGGACATCATTCTTGAGTTTCAACGGGACAGAATTATGAAAAAAACTAAAAATTAGCTTAATTTTGTTTAATTCTTCTGTAGAGACACACAATAAACTTTACAATGAAAACTTAAAAACTTTAAACGTCACACAGACTTAATGGGAAAGAAGAAAAGCAAAAACTTTTAAAAAACTAAAGATCAAAATACACCACCCTGTGTTCCATTGCTCTTCCTTCTCCCTTTAAGGAATTCAACTTTAAATCATTTTGGGCTTAAACTCAAACTTTCCACAGATGTCATAATTTCTAGTCGACACGCTCTTTTATTTGCAACAAACCTGTGATAAACAAGAAAAGAGAAGCCAAATTTTTACCCTGGTTGTTTGTTGTGGTTTTTAAATTTTAATGTCTTTTTAATGCTTATTTTGACTTTCTGTGCGTATAGCAGATATTGATTCTTCTGTTTTTTGGGCTACATTCTCACAAGGTAATTACTTTCAAATGGTGTTTTTATTTGCCAAAATTTCTTTTCCTACTGCAATTGCCAAATTTTGATGTGTGATGAAGAAGTTGAAAACAACTTCCGTAGCTAAAAGCGATCTAATACGATATCAACTGGTTAACTATAAAACTCACGTTCAACATCACGTAAAAATGCATCCTTCCGCCGACAATTTATAAGCATTTGAAACTAACAAAAAAGTTTAGCAAAGTTTTCCAAAAGATACGGAACATTAATTATATATTTGTTTTTGCAGAAAATAATGATAACAGATATTTATGTATTTTTAAACTTTTCTCTTTTATAATTTGTATGTAATAAAAACATTATTTACTGACAAGCATGCATGACTGAAAGTTTTGGGTGAACAAATACGCTTTTCCTTTGGTCTAGGTCGCTAAGTGCTCGATGTTAAGACTTCTACCATTTGGCATTTAGTAATCAATCTCCTAACCCTGAAAAGAACTCAAAACAACTTTCCTGTTCCTATAATCAAGTTAACTTTTGATAGAAAGTGTTTTTTATTAATGTTTAAATTACAGATTTTGGCAGTATTTTTGATGGGGACTTATCAAGCAACCTCACATGGAGGTTTGACTTTAGTTATCTCACGCAACGAAAATTTTGCTACAGCTATAAGGAGATGACAAGTTTTAACCCTAATGGAAAAAATGGGGACTTTTCCAATGCAGTTGAATTTGCAAAAGGAGGGCTTGTTTTGTTCGAGGATTATGGTTCTGGTGTATTTCAACGTTTGGCAATGATTCACAAACTAGAAAAAAATGACCATGTTTTCTTTGAGGTAAGAATAAAAATACCTTCCAATCAAATTGGCTAATACAAGTACTTTAAAAGTAAACTCGAAGTAAAATTTCTAATGAATTCAGTATAATGCGTCAAAATAAAAAACATTATTAAGTATTTCATGTCGTCGAAATAAAAAAACACCATTATGTGAGCGTCAAATGTTTGTTGCTCGATGTAAGTTAAAGAACATGTATTGTTCTCTTTATGAAATCCATCCTTTTTTGGAATATTTTTGTTTGCAACAAGCGACAGCCAATAAATAACGCTAAATATTGAATCAATTGGCCTGCTTGCAGATATTAATCTGGGCCACAAAATATAGAGCCTATTCATCGTTAAAATGCAAGTACATCCAATGATTACTGAATATAATGAACAACTTCAAACCTCTCTCAACAACACCGAACGCCGCTGAACACCTCTTAATACCTCTCAACACCACTTAACAGAGTGTCCAAATTCTCTAAACACGTTGAGTCGACAATGTTGAATATATGTTGAGTAAACAAGTTGAGTTCAGCTTTAAATCCCACAACATTTAATGAGTTTCCTTCCCTTGGAGACATAGAATATAATAACACTGGAGGCTATTTAGCCGAGTGGCTTTGGAAATGTTTAATTTACGCAAAAGCTGTACTAAACGACTTTATTTCATTATTTACTTTGGTAGTTATGTACTCCGTTATTTAAATAGAAATATTTTCTCTGGAGAAAAAATTTGAAACGTGATATTGTTGCATGCTTTTCGACTTTACATAAATTAAATATAGATGAGTGTAAAAATACGTCATGTGTGAAGGTTTAAATAGGTTGTGTGCATTTATTCTCCTGGGAAAGTGTAGAAAATAGGTAAGCAGTATAGAAGAGTCGTGTTCAGAAGAAAAAAAATCGTAATCAACAGGGGAGTTCAGTTGGACAAATGTATTGATAGTTAGAAATATGTTAAGGCAATTGTAAAGAGTGCGATTAATAAGGAAATGGAAGTGTGCCATGTTTCTAATGACAGGATGATAAAGAAATAAAAGTATATTCGTGATTTAATCAGGTAAGATAGATACTTATCCAATTATCGGAAAATTAGAAAACGATCATCGACGTAGCGTTTAATATCGACGACGATAAATAATCATCGACCCAACGTTTAAGCTAGGAGATAAAGATATTAGCCTATTAAAGACGTAGAGGGTAACCCATTCTTCGTATTGGGCTTTTGGAACGGCTCATTAGAAGTCTTATCTTTGAATATCATGTTCAAATTAAAAATTCGGTTTCTGCTTGGCAAATCTTCTGCAACGACTTTAATGAAATGTTTAAAAGTTAAAAATTTGTATGTTTAATTTCCCAGACATTGAGCAACTGTTATCTATATCAATTTTACTTTATGTATTACGTTATAAGAATCATTATTTTTTACATGTAGTTTGCATGAATTTTGAACCCACTCAAATGATGTTTTACACATTTAGTGTTAATTAAGCACCCTCGCTAAGAAAATCCAACACTATTATTAGTGGTAATAAAACATGCTTGTATGTAAAAGCAAAAGTGGCACTATTTCAGATTTGGTGGTGCTTAAAGAGCACTATTATCCATGATAATGTAATGCCTCCTCGTTGTTTTAAATAAGCATCAATAAAGTTGTTAGTTTGACACCTTGAAAACAAAAAATTAATTTTTTTTTCTGTTATGAATGTTTGGGTATTTATTCGAAGAAGTACTTTTATCAGACAATTTTTTGAAAATTCACCTCAAACGAGAGCAAAATTTAATGATTGAGCCCAATTGATTTGTTAGAAAATGTGAGGATTCCATGCTAATCTCTGCTTTATTTTAGTATGATTTCATTGTATGGATGGGTTTCTTTTTCATGTTGAATCGATAAAATGTAACACCACTGGTTTCCATTAGACAGTCGAGATAAAACATACCTAATCAGTAGACAGGGTACAGGTATAGAACCGCCGACATCAGCATTTTTCACGGAGCTCTTACCTGTGTCAAATAGTTTCAAGTCTTTCAAAGTCCACCGGACGCCGCGTGTCAACTGGAAACCGACTAAGAATGCTTTTGACTGGTTTATTTGATGAATGGGAAATGAGGCATGGATTAATTGAAGGGAAAGATTGCTTGTTACTGCTAAAACATACAAGTATTATATCATTTTTTGCCGATATAGAAAAGAGGTTACGATTTTATAAAGTGACTAGTTTTCTTCTTACAATAAAAATAGCTTTAAAAGTTGACATTTAGTTAGCAAAAAAATTTAAGGAAACATTTGATATTGACGAAGAGTAACAAACTTAAGGGAAACGTCAAAAATTATACAAGATAAATTGTTGAAGTGTTATGCCAAGAAATAGAGTTCATAATATCCAGCCTTGTTGCTAAAGACTGTTACGGCTGCAGTGTTAATCACCCTTCGCAAGGACGCCATGATTGTTTGATGATGGCGAACAATGAAAGAATATTATTTTACATTAATAATGCCGTATTGAAAATTTATGAAGAAGATTTAATGAATCGTTCTTCAATACTTTAAGTGCCCTTAGTCCTAAGTAAACGGGCTAGAATTGATCAAGTATATACATACAAGGACGGAGCAAAAAAAAAACCAAATGAAAAACGAAACAATGAACTTTTTGAATTAGATTTATAAATCTTTACTTTATTAATCAGTCATTAAATAGGTAATGAAGCTTGTCATAAAGGCTCTGAAGATAAAAATAAAAATTACCACAACGTAAAATTTTGAACAAATCTTCGTAAAACATAGAACTATAATTCAACAACATTCGATAGTTAAAAATGCTGTCAAAAATATTATCGGCAATTCTCCCTCGCTTCAAGGCATAATGGTTAATCCTTATCAAGAATAGGGAACCGTTATAGATCACCGTCTAAAAATATCGAAAGTCGTAAATTTTTAATTAGTTTTGCTTAATGAATAGTTGGAAAGAAACAGAACAATCAGGTGCACGTGCTGGTCTATTGTGCCAGAAAGAACTTGCTCAATACTGTTTAAGTCCTAACTGGTGTTTATTCTGGTGCATGTAGCAATTGCCCGGCATTTTGAAATTAGAGAATCGATGCACTTTCGAGTTTTGTACACTTTGACAGCACTAAAGCAACATGGCAACCATGAAAGACGTGGCCGTTCAAGCAGTTCTTTTAAAGAAACACAAGATTTTGGTGGATGAAGGCGTAAGCGGAACTTCGTCTTTTTTAACAAAATGAAAATTTAAGCTTTGGCTGTTGCTGGCTAGTATCTGTGCAGTGTTTCAATTAATATGCCGTTAAAAGTACCGTCGGTAATCTCCGTCTTTTCAGTGTGGCATGGTTAATCCTTAACCGCTATAGATCACCGTCTAAAAATATCCAAAGTTATAAAATCTTAGCGTAATAAAAGACTTCCAAAAATGTTTTCTGTATTTTAACACTACTTTAAACCATTTATGTTTTAGCATTTGTAAAACTTGCAATCGTAATGATTTTGTCAAAGTTTCAGGGAAAAGCATCAGTATGCCGATTGCTTCAAAATTTGTCGTTCACTATCTCGTTTTTATGCGCACAAAATGTCACGTTGGTCAAAGGGGACTGATTTGCATTAGCTTGTGAGAAATCGTTTCGATGTCATAGTGTTCAAACGATCAACGAATGTCTGATATATTTACCGCAGTTCGCATCATCGTGGAATATCCGTTATGTTTTTAACACAAAATCTATTCCTTCCTGGTAAACAGTGAATTATGTTTTTAACACAAAATCTATTCCCTCCTGGTAAACAGTGAAGAACGATTAGTCTTAAATCTCGTTACATGAACATTTTTAAAAACCCAAGAGATTGTTTGGGTATTTCAACGTTGGACGTCAAATGTACAGGAAAAAATCCAACTATCTTTTGGAGACATTCCAAGACACCACGTGCCGCCCTTATGACTATCTTGTGCTGGATATGCATTAACACCTGATAATATGCGTGTTAGAACAAACATTTTACTAGGATGAAAGCATATTGCCTATGTACTTAAACGATAAAGGACCACAAGAGGATTCATTTGAGCATCATGTCTCGAATAACAAAGAAAAATCTTTTCAATCAGAAGGGTGGAAATGTACTGACTGCGTTACTACCACCTTTTTTTAAATGTGCTAGGATGTTTGCTGACAAAATGAAGCGTGCCAGACGTATGATTTCAGTGCCTAAAGAAGTTCATAACATGCACAAGCTTACAACAAAAGTAAAAACTAGAAACTTCGCTCATTACAATGAATATCTTACATAAAAATTGCTTACATTCTCGTGTTCTTAAAAGCAAAATTTTTCAATATCAACTTTGAACAATTCCTCACTTAAAACAACAAAAAGATAGTGGAATACCTATGGTACGGGTAACGGATGCAGTCGATGGCAAAGAAAAGGAAACTGTAAAAAGGGACGAAGGACAGAGTTTAGCTGACTCCACAATTGTTGAAAATGTTCCAAAGACAGTGCGTGACTGTGCGACAGCTATAATGCATTGTCTTACAACGCACCTGATGTTATTGCAAGGGATGCATATGGACAAATGAAACTTGATGGTATCACTATTTCTCAATCAAACATATCCGACTTAGTTGGAGACGCTCTGAGAAGAAGAAGGAATTCCAAACCAAGAGGTTCCAAATAATTTTTTCGTATATTGTCGAAAATAAACATTCCTCGGGATCTGATTCAAAATGAAACAAGATGCAACGAAGCCCAAAGTTTATCGAGCGAAGAAGAAACGCGTAGTCTTTCAACTTCAACAACACCAAAAGCTTCATTTAAACCTAAAAAACTCATTTCCGCTTGTTGACCTATTAACTTAGGATGTAATTGATCATTTTTTAATTAATGCTACATTTGTTACTAATCTCCTGAGTATTGTTACATTTATTAGGATAATGTAAACACTCACAAAAAATTAAGTCACAATAAAACGTTTTATTCAATTTACATTTTAGATAATGCATGACTGATTGTTGTTATTACTAGCTACATTTTAATAAGAAAATGTTCGCTTACAAAACGCGATACCTTGCTGTCGTTTAAAATAGTATATCAATTAAAGGTGTGTACAATTTTATTCATACTATGCACTCGAACTCTTTGGCTGAGGTGAAATACGCAATACTGTCCACATACATCTGTCCAAATACTTTGTAATTCACGTTTATTAAAATTCCAATTAATGTTTCAAAGAATCCCGAAAAACGTACGACATTTTTCAGGTGGCTATCCATAGCTATCAAAAAATGCTGCTGTTTCCTCAAAGTAAAAAGCCACCCAATGTGTTCCTGGTTTTCCACTGATATCTGTGTTTGCGGCAAAATCTATTGGGTAACTGCTGATTTTTTTTTGGGACGACAATCGGCAGGAACCGAGAATTTCTTGCTCGCAACAGGGTCGGATCTTAATGCAGTCAAAATTTGCAAGTTGTTCATTTAGCCAATATAGTCATGAGTGAAGTTTCTTTCGGAGTTTATGCGTATTATATACTCAAAATCTCCATAGCAAACAAGACAAACTGTATCAGTTGGCGGTGCTGAGAACTGTAGGTCAATAGCAAGGTTTCCATTAAAATGGCTCGACGAGCTACTCATATCAGGCGTCAGAGCAGCTCCAAATAGAGTAAAACACTTAGGATAATCCTAATTGGGATTTTATTGCCTGTATCGTATCGATGCTCGTAAAGATCGAGAGTAATACTTCAACAAATCTGGGATTGTCGCCAAAGGACAACTTGATCGGTTTATATGGTGCAGATTCTCCATTCACTGAAATAGCTAGCGATGATATGTTGGAATGTTCAAAATTGAAAGGGTTTTTGTAACCCTGCTAAATTCTGCCCTTTCCACAAGACCAATGACAATTGATTTAGGAGCGAGACCATTTAAAGGTTATCTTTTTGCAGCAAAGGGTTTCCTGAAGGAATAATAAAACTCTTGAAGTCTACGTGACGTATGCGGTAAATAGCTGGACCTTTTTTAAAGAGTAACTTTGTTACCCAAAGACGCACTAGGATTCACTATAACTTTGCGAATTTTAAGATACACCTCTACCAGCTTTACTTTAAAAGCAGTGTCGACAACTGACGACATAAGAAAAATATCGTGTACGCACGATAGGCATATTTTTCTCTTGCTTGTGTGACAAACTTTGTAAAAAATTATTCATCTGCCCAACTTTGGCGTCGGCATCAAGATTCTGCCCGTTGGCTTTGGTCACTTTTGCTCTTACTACCAACATCGTTTTAGACAAGTCAACGCAATCTTCAAATCCTGGAGATTTGAAAGTAAGCGGCCCGTTGTCAGACATATTAGATAGAGGAAGATGATCAACCCAATGCCCTTTTTCTATAGCGGTTTGTGTTGGTGGCATATAGGATAGATCAAGTTCACTTTTTGTACATTCTTATGATTTCGGATAAACAAATTCCATCTTTTTATCAAAATTATCTTCTTCTATAGTTGTTCTTCGTCTCTTGGGCTATCGGCGAATGGCCCTGGAAGGTGAAGGTTTACTCTTTTTAGGTAAATGTTTGGTTTGTATCACGCCTGGTACTCCACACTACTATATCGTACTTAATTAAGTTCTTAACTGTCTATTCTTTTGAGCAGCTGATGCATAACTCTTTGTAATTTTTTGGTTAATGAAGATTTACCAAATGGAAGAAGATTAAATTTGTATTGACTAAAAGGCGTATTAAATGTCGTAAGATAGCTTGAAGGATCATCCAGCGTATGTCTGCCAAAATCTGCATCCACTCCATCGAGCACTAAGAAATATGTAGGTCGAAATTAGCCTAGATACGACTTCTTTAACAGTAAAGAGAGGGTAATACTCTCGTTGATTGGCTTCGTTAAGAAGATGTCTTTTCCCCTGTTACCATGTGCAAAAATCATTTTTTTACTTTTTGTAGATGGTTAATTTTACCAATTTTCTGCATTCAATCTAATTCTTCTTTAATTTTCATTTTAATAGTTACAGGAACACGTTGCAGCGAATCAACCTTCGGCTTTACAACTTTTTCATCTTTTCATTTGATGCTTTATAGGTAAACAACCAATATCGGAATATTTATTAATAGTATTGTCAGTAATGGAAATAGGATTAACATCTACAGTTCTCTTCACCATACACAAACGCTCGGTATTGGGTAGACAGGAAATAGGCTTCCCATTATGTTTTGCAACATAGAAAAGAAGATTGAATTGTTTGTCTTTGTAAAAAAATTTTATCACTGCATGTCTCATGCTTTGGATAGTGTCTCCAATATATGATGTTAGATTTTTATTTGATTTAGGAATTTATTGACCACTTTCTGTGATTTTGTCAAACAATTTTTGTGGAAGCACATTACACTTAGCTTCGGCGTGAGGGTGTCCACCTACACCTTTACAGAATGCTAGCCAATCTTGAGATAGGAATGTTATACGACCTTGCGCTTTTGTACTTCTTTCATATTCATTCGATTGCCGACTTTTAAACATGTAATTTGTTGTTAGGCGGAAGTGCATGAGCAGTACCGACAAACAACTCATCATCTTTAATTTTATTATACGTTGGTTTTAAATTTTTTGTAGACTTCAGACACACCCATGTTTTTCGTATAAAATTGTCGCAGACTTTTCCAAAAGCTGGACATTGCTTTTGAAGAATTCCCCTCTCCCACATACGCACACCATTTCTACCGATCTTATTGATACCACACACAATGCGATATGTAATAAGTTTGCCCCCCCCCCCCACCCCATGCCTCCAATATCACAATTTTGAGTTACGTTTTCGCAAGTCAGTAAAAAAAGAGCTAACTGACTAAGACGGACATTGTTTTCTCTTAGGAAATAAATGTTTTTTGAATGTTAAGTTCATAAGCGGTGCGCAAATTCCTTCAAACTTCTTCACTTTAGTATCTGGGTAGTCTTTATGCTATTCTTCTTTTTATACGTAAACGAATTGTATCTTTTTATTTCGACTATGTCCATCAGTAACAATATATATTTCATAGTTCTGTTTGAAACCACACCAATTTTCTGAAATTTATTATGAGGTCTTGTGTTTAATGCCTCAAATTTAAAAAGTGCAGGCTGCATACATGCTACATAAATATTCTACTTCATTAATATTTATGTTAATACATAGAAGTGACGTCGCAGGAGTTTTGATTTCATGTTTAATTCTTAACTAAATTCTTCTTTGTTTAGGAATATATGTTTAGAAAATAAGCGTAATTGGTTCTTTTCGAAAATCAATTCCTTTGCTTCAATGAATAAATGGTGCATTTAGGACGGTCAAAATTGCCTCCACATAAAAAAGGAATAAGGCCTGTCAATGTATAAAACTCGTTTGAATACTTTTGAAATACAGTTAAATTTATGCAGCTAGCTAAATCAGTATATGAGCATGATTCTTCATGTTCATTTTTAGACACAATGCATAATAGCTTTGTTAATTAGAACATGTAAAATCTTAAATGGAGAAAGTTTTCCTGCTATAATAAGGGAACTGTAATGTTTTGTTAATAATGTCCCACAAGTACTAATTGAAAGAAGTTTCCCTATCTTTTTTTGCCGATTAAAAACTAATTACTCTTGAAACCATTTTCATGCAAATAGATTTAAAATTGGTCTTTTCAGACCCAGTATAGGCCGTCAGAGCGACTCTTTACACTTAGTGTGAAAAATATTTTAAACGCCATGTTTGCTAAAATGACTCCACGATCAGTACCATTCTCAGCATTTTAATTAAATTTTGTTTAGCTTGTTGACTTACAAACTACATAAACGTCATTGAACAAATATATCGATGAAAACCTTTGAACACAAAAACATCTTTTGGGATTGAAATTTTTTCAATATTAATTCAATACAAAAAATACAATGATAAATTAACTGCTTGCAAATTGAAAAATCGAAATATTTTTAGCGAATAAATCGTAAGGAAAAATTTTACTTCATAAATATTTAAAATGACTTTTAAACGAATTATGTGTCCATGTATTAATATTTTTGTGGTTTCCAAGCAAACTATATTATTTGGCTGTAATGTTTTACATTTACAACGTGTTTTCTTTGTAGATAGATGGTGAAGAGTTAATTGAAATTCCAGTCTTCGTGAATAAGTCATTTAATTACCCATTTCCAAAGATTTTTTTGCGGCTAAATGATAAGGGAAGAAACAGAGCTGGCTTGTACGTAACACATCCAATATCTTATGCCAAAAGTTTTCGCATTATAGTAAGATGGCCAGGAAGTGATCATATTGAAACAAACACGGCGTGGAACGAATCTTTTGTATGCCGCACAACGGGAGCACTATGTAAGAATGTTTTCTACCATTCGGTTATTTCCAATAAATTGGCACAAGGAACAGAAATTAAAACTCATTTCAAGGACTATGTTTCACAACAGGATTTACAAATGCACTTTCAATAATGGCAAATGATCCTGAAAAATTTGCTCCCGGATTAGGAAGAAAATGTTCACTATTTTGTCGAAGAGTTAAACCGGGAGAAGACATCGTCTTATTTGAAGCTAACAACGGATCTTACGTAATTCACTCACTACGTCTTAGAGTTTATGATATGTTAAATGGCCAAACTGTAATCTCACAAAATTGGATGCGAATTCTTATAACCATGACATGGGACAACAAAGAGCCACAAGTCAAGGACATTCCATTGGCAGGAATTTTTAATACTGGTCTTGATTACATAAGAGAAGTGAAGAGTTTAACAACAGGACTAAGGAATATGACCTGTGAATTAATGGGTGCAGAATCATATAGAATGAAAACGTTTGACTGGACGGCTTATCTTTATTATGAAATGCCATTCTGGACGTCTGCAAAAATTATTGTCAGGATACCTGATGGATACAAGCCTGCAATAATTTGTTCGCAGTTCTCAGTAAAGGAGTTGGACTTTAAAAAATATCACCGGCAATTAACTGGCTACTTCAGTGCGCAAGTAACTCAAGTTAAAAAACTTAGCTTGAAAAATATAAATCTATTTCACTTAAAAAAGCAATGGGGACATGTTGTTGCTGTCAACTACTTTTCAAAAATAGTTGGTTTTAAAACAATAATAGAAAATGATGTAATGATTGAAACAAATGGTGCTAATTCCCCAATTTTCCTGGTACAGGACTGGAAGATTTTTCCACTATTTCTTTGGTTTTAATAGTGTTAGAAACAGCTCATCTCCTTTCAATGGTAACCCTCTCTTCATAAAATATGGTCGACTGTTTTAATAAATGCTTATCGACAAAACACATTGGATCCAATATTGTTTACTACAGGCATTCGCATATATATTGAGGCTAAGTGTAACCAACTACCAAAAAGCTACAGAAAGTTTTCGGGTACCTCTTCATTTGATCCTAATATTCCAAAAAACTCTTTGTTCACAGTTGTTTTATACTACGGTAACAAAGGAACTGGGGGTAGTTATACAGATAAGGTAGTATATGGTGATGAGAATAATGGTTTATCTAGAAGAGTTCGGTTCATTCCAAAAAATGTGAAATCATTTTTCATTTCAAGTATGTTTGAAAGTCAAGTGGGAAAGTTTTTTAATAGAACTGTAGTTTCCTTAGAGCCAGGACAGAGTGTGACTCATTCACTCGCTATTTCTATTAACAATGTTGGTGTTATTCTACGGCGTGAGTATCACTCCATGGTTCCAAACCAGAAAGCAAGTGTAACGGTTGATGGCAATGCGGCTGGTATGTGGTTATGTCCCCAAAGAGCTGCAAATAAGGAGATGTCATTGCGAGTTAATGATTACCTTCTTCCAATTTCACAGACTAAAGGAAAGGAAGTCATCAAAGTAACGCTAACAGCTATTACAAAATGGGAAAGTGTTTCAATTGAAGTACTTTCGGCAATTTTGACAATGTAGGAATAAAACTTATAATTTTTGCATTGCCCTTTATGATATATCAGAGCTTTTGTAATGCAATAATTAGTCTATCTTAATTATATTGATATTGAAATATTTTTTTATTCGTTAATTGTTCAGATTTATGCTAGAAAAAAGTTTTATCCTCTTGTATGTGTAAAAATATTTATGCATTCTAACGTTAATAAGATGCAATAAATTGATATTACTACGTAAACATATACTGCAAAAGGAAAAATCTATTTAATGCGATCGAACGTTTACAGATTGATAATATTTTATTGAAAAAGCTTTTGGCTGCCTGTCTTCAGCCTCCTCCATTACCGCCATGCTTTTAAAAACCGGGTCCAGTCTCCTTCCCTCTACAGGTCTTATATAACTCAATGAACTTATTAAGCATGTAACAATAGCAGTATTGATATCATTGTGATCCTATAGTGCATCCATTACCCACTCTACTCCGTTTTTGTATATCTATCACCCCAATATTCTAAATCGGCTTTGAAAAAAAGGTGCAGTTTTTAATAATTGTAGTCGCTTTAGCTCTCACAATTTTTTCGCGCGGTCATAGGAAAAACGTTACATTCAAGATGGACAAACATATGACAATTTATGCCATGCTTGTGTTCAGGCGTAACATCTAAAGTTTGTGCACATTTCTGATAATGTATTGTTTTCCTCTTGGCAACATATATTTTTGCGTCCTGTACTCATGGCTATAAAAAAGCTACAGTCGCACCTAAAAGATATAAACATCTTTTTACTTAGGGAAAAACAGTGAAGCATCAATAAAATGCAACTAATTATCGAACATTTCCAATTCTGTGAATGTATTCATCTTCGCTTTCCGATGTCGTTGAATTGTCATCATTATGATCATCTTGTGCGTTGGCCAAGGCTCAAACATGTAAGGTTGTACCTCGTTGTTGATAACATTATATAATTTTTGAGCCTGCAGCACACTCAATCTAAGTTCATCACATTATGGTCACTACGTCGTCTAATTTAGCTAAAATTATAGCAAGAAAACATCAATTAAAAAGTTATCAAGTTTGTAAAAATTGAAAACACGTCAAAAATGTTAATCTCCGAATCGGATTTGGCTTTGTCTTTTCTTTTATCATATTTACGAGTCGGGTGTTGTTAAACTTTCCGTTTTAGCATTTTAGGCTTAGAAAACAACGCTATTTCAAATCTAAAGATTATAAAATTACTGTTTTAAAGTTTTGTTTGGTTAAAATTCCTTGGACAACAAATAATAACATAAGCTAACATTTTCGCGACCCCAAAAATGTCCGCCGTGATCAATGGGCAATGCATTTTGATTGACACACATTCTTTAAAAGCCCCCCAAATATTTCGGAGGCAACTTAATTGGTAGAAGTTTATTCTTTCGAAATTAGTTACAAATATTCTTATTTTAAAACTATTTGATTTTAAAATTGGTATAGTTTATTTTGAATTAAACTGTACATGCTGATGAGACAGTGTTATCTATACTTGAACAAGCTTTCATTTGGTAGATCTGTTGACGTGAAATTTTGCTTTTGGGAGATTTGTATTTCATTTTTTTATGCAATTTTAGTAATGATTTGAGCATATCTTGCAATGTGATCCTACAATGAATATTTAAAGCAAACAGATTACAAAGTACTTTTCTGGAGAATTATGGACTTTTTTCATTTATTAAAATAATGGTTAGATGCAGTAGCTCTCCAAATTAAGTTCTATTGATCTGATGTGAAGTTGATTTATCACATTGCCTGTGAAATTGTAAGTATGGTTAAAGTTGAATTCTAATGCAAATGGTATAAGATTCTGTTAAAGTGCACATAACGGGAAAAGTTTTTTGCAACATATAATCTTGGCATTGTTCCTGTTATTATTGCGAGAACAAAAATATAATTGGTCATATCGATAAATTTTATTTTACTTTAAATTTTGCAAAAAGCGGCTTTTGAGTGGATCATGGCAGGTAGAAGCAGGAAACGAGTAAGTTTTTTGATGTCATTCAAGGGAGTCATGGAATACAGTTTATATTAAGAGTATTCCTTAAATAGTTTTGATTCAACACTTGATAACAGACAAATTGTATCTAATGTTTGATGGCAAATATAGTTTTCTAGATGCTAAATTGACAAATAAATGTGTGCCTTAACCACAAGCAGCAAGAAGGAAAGAGGCTAAGAAGAATATCAGGCCCTGTTTACATGAGACCGGAACATAGTCAAACCGTACCAGCTCGTGTCGGTTATATTAGCATTTATAATAGATGTGTACATGGGACCGTTACGAAAATAACTCAGAGCGGTCTGAAGTCATACCGTCTGCTGAACCTATCCGACTGAGTTCAGAGTGGCATGAATTAAGACCGGCATCAATGTAAGCTTAAATTAACGTTCAGACCGGTCTGAAATGGCAGCAACGCATGAGCACAATAGCGAATTATAAAAACAAAATGGCCAGCAAGTGTAAAACTAGCCTGCAAAGGAGGCATTACGCAAATAAGAATTTTTCCTGATTTAGTGCCGGTCCTATGTAAACATGCAACAAATGTTGATTTTCATTCCGGTTTCACTTCGTTCCGGCCTCATGTAAACAGGGCCTCAGCTGACTTTGATAAGGCAAAACGCGTGTTTAAACCGTTTGGAAGGCTAAAGTGCATATTATGTGTATTTGAAGCCTACAGATTAATAGCGTCGTTTTTCAACTGTTTCCTGATGAAAAGAGAGTAAATTATATACAGACCGTTTGAAATAAAATGATCGTTAACAACAACCTTTTAAAATCTAGATTGTTTATTAGTCAGATGACCTAGTGTAATAATATAATTCAAATTAATATGGTTATATTAATACGTTCACTAAACTAAGTTGTTCATTTTGTATCATTTTTAACCCGTCTTAGCATTTTTTCATAAGCTTATTTTGTCTGCTAACGATTTTTGTTAGCAGAAGCTCTATCTCGCATATGCTGCTATTCCATTTAGGGATTGTTTTCCCCGAAATGTAGTTAATGTTTGAGTCATCGTTCTTACAACTTTGCAATAATTGTATTACTTATAAAGATAATGACAACAACGAAATTCCTCTAAAAAGCAGAAAAAAATTATAAATTATACGTCATATTTCATCACACTTCGTCCAAAGCAACTAATAGCAAAACATTGCCGAGTCCAGACTCCCTTGCATGAAGTCAAAAAGAAAGCTAGAGCCAGTCTATTTGCCGTTGCAAAACACGACGTCCATCAAATACTAAATATAAATAGCAATAAAAATCAAACAATTGGACGAAATAAATTTCTGTTTTCGCAAAAATACTAGAACAAATGTTTCGACTTCATTTTGCCAAAAAATTGGGGTTTATAGTTCCATTAAACATTTTAGTGAGGCATTATTGAAAAGAAACTTATTGTTTTTCCAATGGCTATAAAACAATTCTATTTTGAAGTAAAGTCTTGTTGTCTACAAATGTTGGTAAAGACTTTAATACCGCATATGTGTCGGATCCAATTTTTAATCAAAATAAAAAATAATGAGTTTAGTAAGACAAAACTTCTGTATGTTTTCCCTAGTTGTATTAAAAGACCAAAACATTTATTTATTCATTGATAAGGTAATTGACTATATTCTGGTTTAAGGTACAGAAGGCATTATATTATAAGGAATATATTTTACCAAGCTGCTTTAGCAAAATATTTATTTTGATTTATAATTTCAGACACTGCACATTCAAATGATGAGCAGAAAATTCAGGGCACAAAATTCAAAATGAAATAATCGAATGGTATTTAGGTAATTTGGTTGAAGTAGTTAAGGGCAAGTACATTTGGCTCATTTCATAACATAGTGACATGTTATAATCTTTCTATAAAGCACAAGCTTTTGATGAAAGAAAGCTATTGAAATATTAGCAAAAGGACGCATTTTTCCAGTGATTTTTGACTCGAAAGCAATCTTGTTGAATCAAACTTATGTCATGAAGAGTTTGGCAAAATGGTCACTAGACTTACTTCATAAAATAGAATCTATTGTAAAGATATTCTTTCTTCTTTTGCTAATCCATGACTTCTGGCAGGAATGGACAGAGACTAGTGCCCCAATTTTCCAGAAACTAGTCAAATTTCCAAAGGAAGAAAAGGTTTTCTTAAATTGAAAAATTGCTCAATTTAATCTTTTAATTTACTTATGCTTCTTATCAAAGTTTTAAAGCGTTTGCTCGTAAGTCAAGGTTCGAGGGTCATGGAGGTTAATACTACGGGAAACCAACCTTGAAAGTTGTGTTAAGTCCATAGACTGTGTTTAAATTAAATGTAGATATGATCTTCGCACTTTTTTGGACAATTTAAGTAATCGTCTCATGAACCTGAAAAATTCAGGTGACTCAACGGGACTCGAACCCTCTGCGGTGCCGGTGCAGTGCTCTGACCAACTGAGCTATGAAGTCACACAGTGGTGAGCAGCTCAATTTTGTTGGGTTCACGTTTTCTCGTGAAAGGGATGTCCTACGAAAGAATGTTTTATGCAGTGCGGTGTTTGATGAAATTAAATGTAGATATGATCTTCGCACTTTGTTGGACAATTTAAGCAATTGTCTCATAAACCTGAAAAATTCAACGGGACTCGAACCCATGACCTCTGCGGTTCCGGTGCAGTGCTCTGACTAACTGAGCTATGAAGTCACACAGTGGTGAGCAGGTCAATTTTGTTGGGTTATGTTTTCTCGTGAAAGGGATGTCCTACGAAAGAATGTTTTATGTAACATCCCTTTCACGAGAAAACATGAACCCAACAAAATTGACCTGTTCACCACTGTGTGACTTCATAGCTCAGTTGGTCAGAGCACTGCACCGGCACCACAGAGGTCTTGGGTTCGAGTCCCGTTGAGTCATCTGAATTTTTCAGGTTCATGAAACAATTGCTTAAATTGTCCAACAAAGGGCTAAGAACATATTTACATTTAATTTCATCAAACACCGCACTGCATAAAACATTCTTTCGTAAGACTGTGTTTACTTACTTTAGTGTGCACTTAAGTTTGCACGACCCACGAGTGTGCATTGAAAACTCGATCCACGGAAACTTTTGAAACTTGTCTATGATTGGATGGATTATTTGTGCATTAGTCAAACACAGCTCTGGTTCGCTATCGTCGATAAATAAGTCCACGGAAACTAGTCAGGCACAAATCAAAACATATAAATACAGCGAGTTAATTTTGTGGGCTTTTGTATTTCCAAAGTATTTCATCGTTTACCAAAATCACACGGTCAATTTTGGTTTATGGCTACGTATTCTGTTCCTTATGGTGATCCTGTATTCTTAGAGGCAGTTTGCTCAACGTTTGAAATCGGCTTACATATTTTACTATATGTAAACTTCAGATTCGAAAACATTTCGTCTTGTCATCGAATAATAACAATACCATTGGCTATTCGTTCCTTTTGCGTTGTCTGTGACAGGGTCCAGATTGAGATTGATTGGAGTCATGAACCAGTTGTTGCAGCAGTCCTCGGCCGTGACAGACACTTCCGTGCAGTACGTCTTTCCAAAAATCTCTTGGACCAAGTTGTAGCCTCTCACGTAGGAACTTTTATTGGGGTCGTAGAAGTGAGTGGCTACTGTTTGGTTAGTTTCACCCTCGCTGCACTGCCACGAAAATTTCAGGGGGTGATCAAAGAGGTTCGTCTCGTTCATGATGATGCGGAGCTTGCTTAAATCGGCTTGGATCATAGCCAATCGGTTGCTGGAGTTTGCGGTGGCATTGGAGTAAGTCTTGGTGTGTCTCCAAGCCTCAAATTGGTGATGAAGAGAATCATCTTCCTGGGGATTGGGGCATTGTTTAGGAGCTCGAGAACGCCAGCGTCATTGTTTAACGACTTCTGAACTACCCCGAATCAACACGTGTGAAAATACAGCTCCTTAGCGATGGAGACCTGGTGTCTGTAGTTTTTTGTCATGCGATAGGTGGGTTCTATACGTATTCTGCAGTTCTATACGTATTCTGCTGATAGCGTCTGCGTTATTCGCACCGCACCCTTTGTTAGAAATGATCAAGTAGCGACTGAGATCGCCCTTTGGGAGGTCGACGCGAATCTTCACCTGTTTTTCTGGAGGTAGCAAACTATCCCTACTGGAGAAGAGGGAGAGGAATGGGCGAAACTTATACTAAAAGTTCCCGCTGAGGTCACGGATGATGTTTTCTTGCACCGTATTCGAGAAGGCTTTGATTGAAGAGAGCTGAACACCAGGCACTCTTTTGGGGGTATGATCGGTAGTAAAGACAGGGTCTCCACCTCCGTCACCTGCTGTATTTGTCGCAAAGGCTATCCAACGCTACGGTCGACTCCATAGGCGTAGATCTGCAAGGGGAGAGCTTTCAAAGCCCTCTTGGATCCAGCTTCTGTAAGCCAAATAAGTCATTATCTGCGTATTGCAACTTCCCGATCGAGCTCTCCATAAGACTCGGGATGTGCTGAACCGGCTGCATATCAGCCACGACGCCACTTTGCGTGACCTCTTGTCCGTTGAGCTCCACACGTTTTTTTTTACCAAACTAAAGGCTGGGCTCGTAAGAGTTATCCAATTTGGATAGTCGCCCGTGTTTGGTTGGTTGCGATTATCTTGTACCTCGTACTGCATCTTGACGATGAAATACGATTCCGAAAGCGCCATAAAGTTTTTTGCCGAGCTGATGTCTATCCCAGTCGAGAGAGTTGGATTGTCCAGAGAGAGAGTGACGCTAGCTCGCCCTTCAAACAGGGAGACCTTATTTTCTGTCCCTTCCTCGATGGCATCCTGGACTACCTTCACAGGTGACAACAGACCACGGAAGGGCTCGGGGATTTGGGATGTGTCAAGAGTCGTCGCCGTTAGATTATGAACTTTATTCAAAAAAAGTATTGATTTTACAACAACAAAATATATATGTACAGGAAGTATGTAAAATCGTACAATTGTCACGTGTCCACTGAACTATAACGAAAGAACTGAAATTACATTAACTTTACAAATTAAATATTCTATGTTATTTGTATTATGTTAACACCCCCACTCAGACTCAGCTTGCTCATGATGAGCTTGCTATGTAGTTAACTAAATCCTTAAAAGTGTTGCTCGATGTTTTCCTACTTTGACTCGAGATAAAGACTTTGTAAGAATGTCTGCTGTCATTTCTTCGGTTGGAACGTAACTGATCTTTATTTCCTTGCTTTGTACTCTTTCTCGAATGAAATGTAGTTTCGTATCAATGTGCTTTCATCGTTTATGCAATAGGGGATTGTGACACATCTTTATAGAAGGTTGGTTATCTTCTCCAATGTTGGTTTGTTTCTTCATTGGATAACCTAAATCTTTCATTTGTGCTCGTAGGTATATTGCTTCTAGTACAGCTGCCGCCGTATTTTGATATTCGGCTTCGGTTGACGAAAGTACTACAGTTGCCTGTTTCTTCACTTCTCAGCTGATTGCACCTCCGTTCCCTTCAAATTTGAAGTAATATCCTGTAGTTGATTTGCGATCATTGAGATCACCACTCCAATCTGCGTCTGAATCACCAACGATATCGAGATTGGAATTCTTCAAGAATGTTAATTGTAAATCGATAGTTCCTTTAAGATATTTTAATACGTGCTTTGCTGCTTTCAAATGTGAAATGTCTGGTTTATATAGGAATCTTGATAGCTGATTAACAATGTGAAGGATATCTAAACGGGTTTGTTTACCAATAAATAGTAATGAGCCAACTAAACTTCTGTATAACTTACCATCAACTAACTTCTGATCGTCGTTGCTTCTGATTCGCTTCAGATTTACTTCACCAGGCGTTGCTCCTGCTTTATAATCACTCATGTTGAATTGTTGAAGAACAGATTCGATGCATTTCTTTTGGTGAACGGTAATGTTGTCGTGAGATCGTAGAATTCGCATTCCTAAGAACAAGTGCATTGTGCCACGGTCGTCCATCTTGAAATTTTTGCTCGACATTGCTTTGATATTACTAACTGCTTTTCACTCGTACCAGCCACTATAATATCGTCTATCCAAACTAATAAGTATGAGGATGTTCCATCTTCTTCTTTTCTCACAAATAAACAATAATCGTTGCAGCTACGTTTGAATTTTTCTTTAATAAGTAGAGTAGCCAATGCTTCATACCAATTCTTTGCCACTGGTTTCAATCCATAGAGTGATTTGTTTAGCTTGCAAACTTGCTTTCGTCTTGATTTTGCTTTCTTGGTAAAACCTTGTGGTTGTTCTAGATAAATTTCTTCTTCTGTTTTGGAGTGAATGTATGCTGATTTAACATCCATCTGGCCAATATGTAGACCTTTTGTGCTGTCATTGCGAGCAGGATTTGAAGAGTTTCGGGTTGGAGCGTAAGTATCGAAAAGTCTAAGCCTTTGACTTGAGCATAACCCTTGGCTACATATCTTGCTTATATTTGTCGATTTGATCATCTGCTCCATACTTTACTTTATATACCCATCTTCCTGGTAAGACTTGTACATTCTCTGGTTCGTTCACTATTGTCCATGTGTTATTGTCTACTTTTTTGTCCATCATACTTTGCTTTCTTCGCTTTTCTCCAGTTTTCAGCTAGCGGTGTAGTAATTGCTTCATGATAAGACTTGGGTTGTTGTACACTTCCTTCATTAGTTGTGATCAACATATAGTATAATCCATACCTTTCTAATGGCCGCCGATTTCTGCTTTCTCTAGGAAGCGAGATTTCTTCCTCTGGATTTTCTTCATCCTCTTGCTGATGTTGAACAGCGGGTATCGGCGCATTATTTCCCTTTATCTTCAATCGGTTCCTTTAGTTTCTCATCTTTTGAAAAATCATCGTCGAAATCCAAGTTGGGGCTCATAAGACTTGGTTGTTCTAGATTTATCGTATCTTTTGCTAAAAAGGTTGAATTTCACTTTCTTTGAAGACAACATCGCGTGCTTTGTGGACTTTCATTGATTCGAATTCTTGCAGGATGTAAGCCGTGCTTTTGTCATCGTAAACAATAAATTTTGCTTTCACAGATCTTGAATCCAATTTCTTTAGGTTGATCTTCCTTTTCATGACATATGCTGTGCACCCAAAAGTACGTAGATGATTTAATCTTGGGGTTTTTTCGGTGAATATGTCGAAAGGA